CTGGGAGCTTTCAGATCTCGGAGGTGTAGCTGTGATGCTGGGGATCCCCTGCATGCAAAACCAACTCTCGCCTTACACACCTTCCTCAGACTCTACGCTAGGAATCTTCCTCAGTGCTTCCAACCTACTGATTCCTTAGCAAAGCTAGATTTGTCCACAGTGACTTTTTCCAAACTTACATTCCTACTTCTGAAACAAGGAGATTCTTTTTGATAGAGGACGTAGGCAAATTTGACTTAACTAAGAAATATATTTGACAATTAGACCTTAAACGTTCTCATTTTATTTTTAATCTTTAGGCATTAACAAGGGTTACTTAACTACCAAGGACTGGTTAAGCCTCAAACGTAATGTCCGGAGGCGGCTTCATTGGTTTTCTTCCCTTACTGTCTTCACATTAGCCCATGGAACCATCAGGAAATGTCTGATACCTTCTGGCCAGACAGGCTTAGCACTTTGATTTTCTTCAAGCATGGAGACTAACAAAAATGTTGGCAACATAGAGGTTTGAGTCAGTGCCCAGGGCTCCCTTTGAGTGAGGGCTGCCTTTGCAGTGAGCATATTGTGCTGCGTTCACAAAAAGGGGGTCCTGCCTACTCAAATATTTTAGCCATTCATCCTGGGAACAAACTAACAAACTCCTTCCCATCTGGATTCAGATGGCTCTAGACCACAGGACCTGCCCGAGAAGAGTCAACACTAAGGGTCAGATCGATGCCCTGGGCCGTGCAATTGGTCCACAGTCTGGGATAATCGGAGCTGAAGCTCTTCCTCCTCCTCCAGCATTTTTTGGAAATAGCCTGTCTTCAAGCTGTTCTGCCCATAATTCTACCTCTGTTTGCCCATCGGATTCCTCTTTGTCCTTCATCCACAAAGTCTTGGCGAATGGACCATCATGTTTGTGAGAACACCACAACTTCCCTGGCAGTGCCTGGGCTGTGGAGACCGGGGTCTTTCAGGGTTGGTTTCAGTTCTCATTTGTAGCACAATAAACCATGTTTGCTGCCAGCCAGTGCCACTTCCTCACCCAACACACAGCTGCCTCCCTTCTCCATTCTGGAAAAATTCTGAAATTTATATCTGCAATCAGTTTCAAGCTGACATTTGTTTAAGACCTAAGATGAGGATTCTTATTGTCGGTGGGAATGTCTATTGGTTCAGACACAAGGGACAAACAGCATTAAAAAAAAAAATGGAGGGCCCGGCACGGTGGCGCAAGTGGTTAAAGGTCCTCGCCTTGCACCCCCGGGATCCCATATGGGCGCCGGTTCTAATCCCGGCAGCCCCGCTTCCCTTCCAGCTCCCTGCCTGTGGCCTGGGAAAGCAGTCGAGGACGGCCCAAAGCGTTGGGACCCTGCACCCGCGTGGGAGACCCGGAAGAGGCTCCTGGCTTCGGACTGGCATAGTATCGGCCCGTTGTGCTCACTTGGGGAGTGAATCATCGGACGGAAGATCTTCCTCTCTGTCTCTCCTCTCTGTATATCCGCTTTTCCAATGAAAAAATAATAAAAATAAATCTTAAAAAAAAAAAAAATGGAAAGTACCATACGACTTAGCAGTTCCTCTCCTGCTTATGACTGGAAGAAGGAACTAGTATCTCACTGGGTTGTGGGCACAGCTTTATTTATTGCAGCATTATTCACAACTGCCAAAATGGGCGGAGGGGGGGCAACTGTTACATCTGTCGGCAGACAAATGGATAAACTTGTTGAAGATTACTCGGGCATTCAAAGGAAGATCCTACCACTTGCACCAACATACATGCACCTGAAAACATTAAGCCACGGGGAAGGCAAAATATTGCATGGTTTAACTTCCATGGGCAACCTAAAAAAAAAATCAAACTCAGTAACACAGAGAATAAACCAGGATTTTCTAGGAATGTTATGTAGGGTAAATAAGTCTATGGGTCTAATTACTGCGTGAGGACTGGAGTACATAAACACTGTATGGTGGAATGGAAATTTGTGAACAGACTAGATTTATCATATGCACAAATAAGAGTTTCATAGCTATGCTAATTTGCTTCATAATTGCAATAATTTTGCTACACTGTCATATTGTACACATTAAACATATTCAATGAATAAGGAACCATAAAAGGGGACTTTATCTATTATAGATATCTTAAAATTACATTTTTTTCTAATCATAAAAATGTACATGACAATGTAATATTAGCTGCTAGTTTTTTAACATAATTCAAGCTCAGCAACTTTTCTTATATTAAAGACAATGACATGCAAGATAATTAAAAGTCTCCCTTTAGTCAAGAGAGAAAAAACAAAAGCTCAAATTTTGTATTTGAGGTGATTTAAATGATTAAGTTGTGGTTTTAATTAACTTTAATCAATGATTTTTCCTATGGTAACAAGGTTTGAACTATGATATCTTCTGATTGGTTCCAGCCTAATTGATATGATTTTTCATTTCTGCCTTTGTTTCAAATTCTATTGTGATTTTGTAAATTTGATGAATGATTTAGAGATGTAAAAAGATAGCTGATGAAATCAAACAAATTAAGAACAAGAAAAATCATGTGAAAATATATCTCATTTTACATGTATCTTGTAGTTAATAAATTATTTACATATACATTGTAAACCAATTTTCTAATATAGATATAAATATTTGTAACATATAAAAATCTTGGTATAATCAGTTTATGAAACCTTTAGGATCAGGACATTTAAATATAGATAATTATTTATAGCAAGTAAATATTGGATTCCTCTTCTCTCTTGCCTGAAGACACAGCTTTAATTATTTTAAGTGTCATTATTTTTTAAATATCAGAAAAGGGATTGGTTTGAAATTATGTAAAGCTGGCTATTATTATTGCATTAACTAACTTACTAATTTTTTGTGATTGGAACAGGCAGCCACTGACTTAACTGTCAGGATTTTATTTGCTGAAATTTAAACTTGATAAATTTGATCAACTTCAAAATCTGGGTCATTCATTTATTCGAGCACAGGTTGTCTGGAAGCCAGAAACACTTCTGTATGTCACAGCTATAGACACACAGACAACCTTTTTTAAATATTCAATCTTTGTTTTTGAACTCATACATATGCATATAAAGTTATATTGTTGTGATGAGCAAAGTAGCCCAGCTCCGTGATGGTTTAGCAAAAACTGTAGTAGTAGGCTATGAACAAATTCTGAAGGAAACCCCAAAAAAGAGTTTCTAAAAAGGAGTTGAGTGAAACTAATAAAACTGGATTAAATACATCACCTCCAATGTGGACTCATTTGCAAGAACAGAATTTGTTATGGTTGCTTTCAAAATATGAATCTCATTATATCGTAATTAGATCTTACACATAACCTAGCCTGAAGGAATTTCTACTATGGTTTGTGGATATGCTGTGACACTCAATGAAATAAGAGACCTAAACAAGGAAACCATGACTCAACTAATAAAAGTTGTTTTGAAAACGTTTTTGGCGGGTATAAGAGCAAGTGGTAAGGGAAATCAGCCTCATGACTGGGATGATGCAGTGTACGATTCTTTAGCGGAACAGGTCCTGGCAGAACACAGAGAGTGAAGACCGAGGGGACAGATCCTCAGGGAGAGCAGCGTGGCTGCAGCGTGCTGCACATCCACTCCGAAACAACCTCAAAGTCACCGGGGAGGCAGTGACTACCGCAAGGTTAATTTAGACGTTCACATTCAAGGATCAGCCATAGCTAGCACATACAAAAATAAAACACACTTTGTAATGTTTTAAAGAGCAAATATCCAAATGGAGTTATACGGGAACAGGGGAGCAGGGTAGTTTCTAAAATTTCAGATGACAATGCTACAATAATTCATAAAGTCAGGCAAATGAAATGTATTTTGTTGCAGATGGAAACACCTTTATCATCTGTAGGATTCAACACAACATATGATGTCATCAATTTGCCATGCTGTACTATCTCTTTCTGGCTTTTGTAAACCTCAAGTTATAAAAGTTTAATTTTTTATTAAAAGTTATAAAAATGAGGATGCATCTTAATTTTTAAACGAGATGTCGTCTAATTATGTGTACTTGAAAACAACCTGGCCTCACTACATAGTGCCATTACAATGAAGCCATTTAACAAACAGAATCGTCGGGCACTGGTGCCACTGAAGAACTTTGTGCTTAGACAAGTCATGTACACGTCTGTTTTAAAAGTAACCACTTTCAAGTTCAAATTTCACAACTGGTAATCACGAACTTGTGACCACCCCTGCTTGCTTCCTGACTTCCTGTCTGAGTTTTCTGAGTGTTCTCATTTTCCGACTTCTTTAGATCTTCCATATTGAATGATGCTTTCTTCTGCAGTGCCCTATGCTCTGGTTTGAATGTGGCTTGAATGTGTGCTCCAGTGGTTTGTGAGTCAAAGCCTGGCCCCCCAGGTGGGTGATGTGGAGCCGTGGGAGACCTGCAGGAGGCGGGACTTGGCAGGAGGGCTGTGGGTCACAGTGACCAGTTACAGGATTCAGGTGTTCTTGTGAGACCATGGTGAGCACTCAGTAAGGGTGCCTGGAGGATAAAGGCAGTCCCCTTTTGCTCTTCTCTAACTTCCTGTCTCACCATGTGATCTGCATGTGCGACAATCAAGTTTCTACCTGCTGAGAGGCGAAGCAGCCAGGATCCCTTATTGGAGCTATTGCCATGCTGGTTGGACTTTCAGCTCTGGAACATATGGCTCAATCAACCTCTTTTCTTTATAAAGGACTCAACAGCAGATATTCTTACAGCAAGGGAAAATGGACAAACACAATTTAACTTTAGTTATTTTCTCTTTTTCTTCAAAACGCCTAACCAACATCATTTAGCTGTAAGTCCAGCACAGTAAGCCCAAGCAACAACAGCAACAAAACAAAATGAAATAAAACAACTCAAACAACAACAACACAAACCGAGACTGTGCCACACTTGTGGTTTAAACTGAAAATGCTGAGTCTCCATTATTAAAGGCATTACACTGAATAGGGATAATTTTCACAATATGGGAACCTTACCTGCTGTGGTCGGATCTTCTTCATCTGATGCAATGAAAGAGGAGACAAGGAAAGGGTGGTGAGGCAAGAAGGAGAGAGAAACAAAGAGAAAGAATGAAGTGAGCGTCAACATATTTCAGAATGCCAAGCAATGCCTGCAAGCCCCTGCCTTGCACTTTATGTACCAGAAATCTGCCACTATCCAGTAATGACAGGTTGCTACATGTACACATCCAATTCAAATATTCCTGTACTTTAAAATACAGTAATTTACTACAACAGTATATCCATTCCTGAGTTTGACTGTTCTCACCATTTAAAGACAGAGTTCAACTTAGTTCATTCGTGCGGATTACTATAAATGGTTTGGTCTAAAATGTATCGATTATACGTAATTCATCACTTTTCTATCAGCAGACATGTACTGCTGGTCAGTCACTTGTTCCATGCGACACTCACTGCAAGATGTGGGTTTATCATGTGTCAGCACAACTCTGAATCATTCGGGACTTTTGTTCAACTACAATGCTGGAGTCCTCTCCTCCCTCTCCATCTCTCAGCCCTCCCCTTCCTCTTCTCTTGCTTCCTCCTTATACCCCCATCTCCCTCTACCACCCATCCTTTCCCTCCCGCTTCTCCAGCGCACGCGTGCACACACACACACACACACACATGCACACACACACACACACGCACACACACACACACACGCGCGCACACACACACACGCGCACACACACGCACACACACACACGCGCACACACACATGCACACACACACGCGCACACACACATGCACACACACATGCACGCACACACACACACACGCACACACACACACACGCGCGCGCGCACACACATGCGCACACACACACACCCTGTGTTGACGACACTGGTAGGGAACAGAATCTAGATGTACATGGTGATCCCTGTTCAAACTTAAATACAATCTTCTTCAGCTTGAACAGCCATGAAAAAAGGGGAAGCCATGACATGAAATCACAGTGGTTTTTTTTTTAATTAATTAATTTATCTTACTATTTCAAAATACAAGTCCATAAGCTCTGGGATTTCCCTTCCTCTCTCCCCATATCCCCTCCCCTCCCCTCCCCACCGGTTTCCTCCATAACTTTTCAATAGTACAGTCTTTCATGATCAGATCTAAGTCCAGCATTCTGCTTTTCTGCTTTTTAAGTGTATCCTGACATTGTAGGCATGGAAAATGGCACAGAGTCCAGCACCCTATTTTCAAGAAACATTTAACAGTTTCATTGGGAGTTCATCTGTGATTCGTAGGTAGAGATGCATTCTCCATTGTATCTTCACATCTGGATATGATAGTCTCTACTACACAATTACTATATATCCCCTTAAATGAAAACCCACAGAAAATTAAAGCAGAAAAACAAAAATCTACAACAACATGAAATTAAATAACATGCTACTGAAAGGCCAATGTACAAAAAAAATTTTAGTGTAACATTTTAAATTTATGTTACACTAAAAAAGGGAGAGAATAAGGACAGGAGGAAAGGAGCATCATGTTCTTAAAAACTAATTAAAAATAAAACAAAATAAGAGAATTAGAAAGAGTTCAGATATAATGAGGGTTTGGACTGACAGCTCAGGCACACAGAGGCCAACTCCAAACCTCACAGCACTGTATTTTTTTATTAAAATAAATACACTATGTTAATCAAAGTTTTAAGAAGAAAGTTGCATAAATACATCAGCATAAGTTAAATTTCCATCCATAAGCTCACAGAAAACTTGCATTACTCCAACAATATTCTGAGGCCTCCATGTATGCTATGTCACTTAATATTACTAAAAAAAATATGCAATCCTAAAATATCAAAGTGTGATTCCTTGTTTAATGCACACAAGCATAATAAAGCTTCCACTTCTTCCTTTTTTTTTTCCTCCAAGAGTCAGCAACTATTGCCAAGAAGCAAGGCCCCAAGGCATGCACTCACTGTGAGCCATGCTGCACTGCTGGTTCCAGAACCGAAAAAGGGCCTGTCTGGGAAGCACATTTTCACGCAGAGTCCACCTTTCTACCTGACACAGACACGTCCTCGGAGGAGTTGCTCCTGCTTGTGCACAGCACTAGGGCTGCTGAATCATGGGGCACAAGCCAGTCAGATTTTTACTGATTCATAAAGTTTTAAGGTAAACAATTTACTAGGCTGAGTTACTCAGAAAGGAATCTCATTCCCAACTGATTCCTCTGTCCAGGTCTCAGGGCGACGCCTGAGACTAGCCCCCATCCTTTCCTCCTCAAGGCGTAACCTCACATTACTACACAAGCCTACGTGGTGTCCCGACAGCATCGCTTCCTTCATACACTGCTTGGCTTTCCTCCTTGGCAGATGGAGAGATGAAGAGAGCAAACACGGTTGGCATGTGTGGCATGGAGAACATAAATATTGAAGAGCTGTTTGCTGCTTTACCGTGTCCCAAAGACATCATAACATGTTCACGGAGGAAAGTTGCTGGTCTCTTCCAAGGATTCCCTTTGACCAAACTATCGCAGGAGCTTGTGGAACTGCTGACACTGCGGGTCACACATGATGCCACTCTGGAGAGCCAAATGAGAAAGGGCAGTCCCACCCACTTCCATGTGGGCGCTGGACGAGCGTGAACTCGGTCATTACCCAAAGCAAATGACAAGATGGAACGGCACTCAACTGACAGGCGAAGGCACAGAGGTTCAGACTGGTCACAGGTGAATCCAAACTTGAACTGACATCAGAGTCCCTCTGAAAACCAAACAGGCCACTATTTCTTGCTGCCTCACAGAGTGCCAATTCTCACCGCTTGCTAAAACTAAGATAACAGATTTACAAGCACCAGGTCACAGACGAGAACTGCCACAAGCTCTGATGATGTTCATGAAGGAAAAAAAAAAAAAGAAGGTAAAATGGATGTAGGGGAAGAGAGGCAGAGACCCTGTCAAATCTTTGCCATGTATGGACACCAATAGAATCCACAGCTACAGACCTGCACAGGGTTCTCTGCCCACGCGGCCTCTGTGTGATGCCAGTCTGCAATATGAACATGGCACTAGCGGTATCCATTCTATTACACCACACACGGAGACACATACAGGCAGGGCTTAATGTTGGCGGCAATTCACCCACATCTCCCTTGCACAGTTGGCCTGGTAGGCTAAGCGTATTACGGAACAAAGCCTCAGGAACTGTCAACAGGTGGCAACTGGAGCCCAAGGCAGTAAACCTGCTAGTGGGCACTTGCGGCCTATTTGGTGTCATTTCAGTGCAACAAGTACTACAGCAGGGACTGTCGCCCAGCCAAAAGAGCCTTCCTCTTCCCGCCTGCTCATTGGAAGTAACAAAATCAGTAATTAGAAAAACAGTATGATTGTGTGCCTCTGGCAGGATCCTCTCATTCTGGAAATTAAAACAAGTGTGCAGGGCAGGGGCAGTGGTAGAGGGGGATACGTGACTTGGCATGTTCACTTCTCACTTTAGATTGCTGAGTCAAGTCTAGGCTCCTTCCTTGTGGAAGACGACAGTTGACAGGAGACAATTCATAAAATATGTCATGCACTCATGCAGCTTGGATGTAATTATGCTCATGTCTTTGTTTTTTTTCTCCATCTGCCCCATTAGGTAGGGACTCGTGAGAGAGAAGAGGGGAGGGATGCCCCTTTGTTTTGCTCACCATTGGATCTGCAGTCCTTAGAACCAGTACAAGGACTCAATGAATATTTGTGGGAAGAAAGCCAATCTCTAACTTTGCCTTTCAAATAAACAAACATTAAAGAAAAAAAAGAAACAAACAATAAAAGAGTAAGGAGGCTGGAAACAAGAGTTGAAAAAATCATGGTTGATCAACTACAACCCTATAAAAAGTTAAATCTTCGCTTTCGGAATAACTCAAAAGGCATCAAACTATAGCTTATTGAATTAGAATCACGAAGCATGTTCAGGGTTGAATACTGAATATTCTGAACCTGCTGGACTATGAATTATATACGATTTTTGATGATTTTTAAAGGTAAGTCGTGACACAGACAGCAAGTTATCTCACTACGAAGTCTTGGCACGTAGTCTGTGAGAGCATGCGCACACTAGCAAGTATCTAATATAGCTACAGTGATCTCACACTCGACATTTTTAAACCACTTCTGAAATCTGTGAAGCCTTTCAGGAGAATCACCATCTCTTTCAACGCTCATGTTCCAAAGTGGAGTTCTGACACTTTATGATGGCTTTGAAACTGTGAGCTCCCAGAATACAGACACATGCATTTTAATTAATTAAAATCTCTTTTGAAACTCAAAAGATAAAGGGGAGGGGGAGGAACAGTGTGAGCAGGCTCCCTTGAAGAGACTTAAGAAATTTCTGTTGAATCTTTCTCTTTGGTCAAGAGGAAAATGTTTTTTTTCCATGCAGTTTTTCGTTCTTCCAAGGACACTATGAGCCATCACCTGCCTACGAAGCTTGACTATTGAATGTGCCTGTGACTTCAACGGGGAGGTCAAGACTACTGCAGAAGAGGCTTCCTATTTTTTTTTCCTGGTCACTGAAGTGGTAGTTACAATTAAATGCTTCCTTTTCAGAATCATTAGCACCTGCTTGAAAAGAGAAAACCATCAGTGCACCTACAGAGAGGTGTTAATCAAATGACCTTGAAAATGTTTTCTCCCTGTCTGCAAAAACTCCTCTCCTTGCTTACATCTTTGAGTGCAGCATCTTTGAAGAACTCAACTGCTTTGGAAGTGGACACATCCAGCTTTAAGGCAATGGAACTGAATACAGGTGCAGGGCTATTCAGGCAGCCTTTTCCTTCTCATTTAGATTGTTTTAAATTATGGATGCACCCTGTTAACTTTCAAGCTTCTAAACAGCCTGTTGAGAACAGAAGAGGCAAGCAACTTTTAAAACGCAAGAATAACATCCTAGCCAGGCCTAAAGATCACTTAGTCCAAGCAGCTGAACAAAATCTACCTATCGTTCACAACTTTCAGTGGCAACGAAAATCCTCATCTCCCAAAGGAACACTTTGTGCCTCTCTCTCCCCCAGAGCTGACTCATGAGAACAGTCATGTGGCCCTGTCATTGACATGCTGGCTATTCACACACTTAGTCATCGGGAAGATCAAAACTGTCACCGTTTTCCCAAATGCATAAGAATGAATGCACATGGACGCAGTACTCCAGATGTGACCTAGGTAGTATAAGCTAAGATGACGATGTTACCTGAACCGCAGGTACAACTGTACAAGTTAATAAAGAGTCATGGATTAGTCTCATTTTCCTTTCCTCCTTCAGCTTCGCATGGCACCTTGGACTGATTCTGAAGCACTGGGTACACGCTGTCTGCTTCCTGCCCGAGGGCAACATGGGTCAGGGAAATGAGGGCAAGGCATGCAATGTGGAGGCCCCAAGTGGGGTTGGGGAGATGAGACAGCAGGAAGGGCAGCCTGGCGGTGTGAGAGGGCGGTGGCCAGGGGCAAGAACTTCAAAGATCTGAGTCCTCGGAGTCTTGATTCCTGTTCAGTTGAGGCACTCTCATTCGCGGTTCTCACGTGTAGACCAGACATCTATCTCAGAAACGTCCCGTGTTTGTCCTAAGACACCTGTCTCAGCTGTGTATCCAGCTGCACAGGAGGGCTTTGTACTTTCTTGTGGGATTTTCCACATTGACGGACAATTCTAGTCTCCAAAGGGCCCTCCGGACAGTGCCCTTACAACATTGCAATAATTACATTCTGGTTGGAAATTCTAGTTCGGGAAATCAGCCAGCCAATTCTAGATAAACTACCCATTAGGCCGATCCTTAAGGAAAATAATCAAAATAATTAATGAATTGGAAACTAGATTTATCTTGGAGGCAGAGTAATAGAAAAATCAGTGCAATGAAAACAAATTTAATCCTCAGAAGAAAAGCTGAGGTAGGATTTTAAAATGACCCTGAATATTGTTGAGAGTTTTGTGTTACCATCTTTCAGTGACTGTGCTTCAACAGCGTGTTATCAGGAGGGACGCCAGCAGCATGTTCCTGGGGGAAATCTTGGTGGTCACCCCGAAAGCTGTAATCCACGGACAGCAGAAGCAGACAGCCACAAGCTGTAGATGATGAAAGTGCAATCTACCGTGCTGGGTTACTCCAAAGTCCTGCCTACGATTACCTTACATGTAATATGAGCAACTGATACGGTTACTTCTTCTAGAATGTTCCCATGTTTCCTAACTTTCTGCTTTTTCATATCCAGGATTTTTTTGTTTTAAATGTGCCCTCTCCAATAAGTTCCACAGCTGAACTGCATTTCCATCTCAGCTCAAAAGCTATCTCTACCTTGACATCTGATGGCTAGCACCAGGAGAGATCTTTCCCCCACTCTATACCAAGCATTTTGTTTCCCTATTAGGAAAACTATCTTGTGCACAGGGAGTTACTGATAATGTGTCCCTGTTTATAGTTCCTTACAGTGTGCCAAGGGGACTTGTGGTTGTGGCACAGGGTGTTAAGAGCAGCTCATGACACTGGCATCCCGAGGCCCACATGCTCCCCTTCTGATGCAGCTCCTTGCTAGCGCACCTGTAGAGGCATGGGACCACGGCCCACGCAGTTGTGGGCTACTACCCAGTTGTGGAGATTTAGATTGTGTTCCTGACTCCTGCCCTAGACCTGGCCCAGCCCTGATAGCTGTGGCTATTTGGCAGTGAACGAGCAGATGGCAAATTTCTGTCTCTGTCACTTTGCCTTGTAAACAAAGGGCCAGCACTGTGGTACAGTGGATAAAACTGCCACCTGCCATGCTAGCACCCCGTTTGATCACATGGTTGTCTTCTGGTTGATCCAGCTCTCTATCCTAATGGCCTGGGAAAAGTAGCGAAACGAGACTCGAGGGCTTGGCCCTCGTGAGCCATGTGGGAAACTCCTGGCTCACAGCCCCCTCCTAGCCCAGCTCTGATAGCTACAGTCATCTTGGAAGTGAGCAGTAGATGGAATATTTGTGTGGGTATGTGTGTTTGTGTGAGATCTCCCTCTCTGTTAACACTGACTTTCAAACGAATAAATACATCTTTTAAAATAAACAAACAAAGAAACATTTAAAAGCAAGTATTGTGAGGCCAGGTTCTTGGTCTTGGTGTCGCAGACAAAGTGTGGTGGCCTGCCAGGGGTCAGATACTTTCCATCACATATTTGCAAAGTGGAAGATTCTAGAATCCTTTTCCTCTGTTATCCCATCTTTATGCCAAGCCACACAGAGCCACAGAGGCAGAACCTAATATTAATATGTTGTCATAAATTCCAACTTGGATATTTATGATACCTTTACAGGATTCCCATTTTGCAATCTTACAAAAGAAAAAGAATCAATTCATAATTTATTTTCTCTAAGCATAGGAACAACTATGTTCCTGAAGGGCCCATTCCTAATTATGCAAGCATTACTTACATTACTCATAATTTCCGAATAATAACACACAGGGCTCCCTTTTCCCCATACAAAATGAGGTGATTTGTCAAATGATAAGTTGAAGAGAAGAATTTTTTTTAATCAAAAGCTAAAAGCTGATTCCTCGCCAGCTTGTCCCTGGTGGTTCTTACGGTCAGAGCACCGGCATCTCCCCCTGGTGACCTCGGGGCCTGCTGGCAGGCTTAAAGCCCGGGAACTGGTGCCACGAACAGACACAAGACTTTAAGACACTTTAAGTAAGTTCGGGTGAGACCCAGATAGGTTTCATCTCAGCAGTGTGCTGGAGACCCTCCCCGACCCCAGCAGCATGCGGGAGGTCCCCTCGGATGGACTCCCCCAGACTAATCACTATCATTCCTATGGAACC